CGACGCGCCGAGCGCGGAGCTGCAGGCACCAGTGCTGGCAGCGCTCGCTTCCCGGCAGGCAGCGCTCCCGCTATTTTAAAGGAGAGCTAAGACGTGCCCCAGGGACAAGGAGCACGGGCTGAAACCACCCCTTTGGCTTCAAAACCAGGCAACAAATCATGTCATGAGTGAGGCCTACATGAGGCCACAGCAAAGCGGTCTCCCTGGCAGCAGTTCCACGGCATCCTGGGGCACCCCAGGCTTACCTGAGCCACTGCGTGGATACCCTCGGACAAGTAAAACCCCATACTGGGGGATATTAATGCTAAACATTTCAAAATCAAAAAATCTTGAAATGTTTGAAATGTTTACAGCCATCTACTTCACATTGTGGGATCTCTGCAGAAATCTAAGACCTGCTCATTGTTGGTTGTGCTCACCCCTCACAAAGCGTGAGTCAAGCTGACTCAGGCTGAGCAGGTGAAGCACAGCAGTGATGTCTTTATTGCTTGTTGTATTTTAATTTCCTTTTGGTCCTGTGAGACCTTAGAGCCCTGTTTTAGCCGCTGTTCGCAGGATGTATGCCCTTAAACTCTTGAGGGGCTGGGCCAGGACACTGGGATGCAGGAGGCATCGCTAAGTCCCTTCCCTGATTTGGTGGGAGTCCCTTAGAAACACCTAGATGCCAAGGGAAGATCACAGAGGACACAGATGGACTGAGACAGAGCTGGAACTGCGATACCAGACTGTTGATTTTGCCCCCCAAACACACGAGTTGGAAGGAAATCTGTCCTTGTCGCGATGCAGCTACCGAGTGCACCGATGTCAAAATCAAAGTCCGTCCCGTCCAGCTCTGGAGGGGAGCAGCAGACCCAAGGCCACCTGGACATGCACGGAGCCAGCTGCACCACCTGTCCTCACAGCTGGGTAGAAGCCTGACTGCCGCCCGGGCCTGCAGATGCAGACCCCAGCCTTCACCGAGCGGAGCCCCCAAAGCTGCTCTTGGAGCCCCCCGGGGTGCTCGGGAAGCCCCCGGCACCTCCCTTGGTGTCGCAGCCCCCGTCCTGCTCCCCGGCGGCTGCTCCTTCCTGCCGGTGGCCATTGGGGAATGGATGAGCTGTCTGTCCTCAAGCCAACTTTCCAGCTCCAGCGACTGGGAAATGACTTCCCAGCTGGGCTCCCATGACCCCACCAGCTTTCCCAGCAACTCCAGCAGGTTTTGGAAGCGTCCTGGATATGAGGAGAGGCCGAGTACAGGGAGGATGGAGGCAGGAGAGGCAGGCGGGCATCTCCGCCATTAGCACCACCCGTGTCAGCTTCCTTCCTGCTCCAGCGGGGATCACAGGGATGCCAGGGCCCATCCCGGCTGGGGAGCCGCAGGGCCAAGTCCGTGACCAGCGCGGGGCAGCACCACCCGGTGCAGGAAGTCGTTCTGTTATGGCTGGGGTGGCCCTGAGCCATGACTTCTTTCACTGAAGTCACGAAAAAGAAGAAAAATCACTATTCCCTTTGGCCACAGCAAGGCAATGCCAGCTCTGCCCACCCCCTGTTGTGTAATGTGGCAAGCAGCTGGATTTCCATCTTGGGGGAATTTGGGAGGGAGCCGATGAGGCCAGAGCTGTGCTCCTGGGCAACGAGGCCATTGGCGGGTCCAGGACTACAGCCAAAAAACCCATACCAAGCACAGCGAGTAAACCAAAAGCCCTGTCTCGTGGGCACCCTTGCATTGGAGACACCCACAGGACAGTCTGCTGGTGGCCGCTGGCCCTGCGTCCCCGTCTGCCGGCCCCACGGCCGCACAGCAGACACGTGTCAGGCTGTGCAAGCCCACGAGCACAGCGCGCTGTGAGCACCGCAGCCCCGCGGATCTTCACACTGCCGTAACATGCCTGAGATTCCTAAGGTGCAACTGGCAGGGGCTTGCACAGCTGCCAGCACTCAGGCTTGTTTTTCACACGATTTCTTTGCCTTAAAGATCCTTTTATGGTGCAAAAAGAGCAAATTCTTGCCTCCCCAGGATGTTTCACTCCCAAACAGTGAAAGCCTGGATGTCACAGCAGTTTAGCTCTGCAAAGGGCCCCCCAGGTTGACTGAAAATCAGTCTATCCTACCTAACAGCAAAGGTGCATGGTTGTAGTTGTGCTTCCGCACAGCCTGGTTGCTGGGCAACCTAGTGACGGTCCCACTCAAAGCGATGTCACATCGTCCCCAAAGAAAGGACTTGTGTGGCTTCAAAGACATTTCTTTGGGTGAGGCAACTTTGACAGTGGGCATTGCAGCTGGGTGCCATTAGCAAAGCAAAGCCCAGGGCTCATGGGGACTTGCGTCAGGAGAGGGGTGAGACCCGTCATGGACACATAGTCACCAGGGCAGCACGTAGAGGAAGGGAGCCCGGCTGCGCTGCGAAGCTCTGGGGCTGTGAGCAAGAGCGGGTGCAAGGGGACGCACTGGGGCACACGGATTCCGCCGGCAGCGCCGATGGTGCCGTGGTCACAGGAGTAACCCAAGCACCCAAGCCAGCAACCTCCCCCCGAGGGATGAGCAGGGAGGCACCAAGGGCAGTACAGCCCCTCTGTAGGCGTCAGCGACTCGTTTTCAAAAATCTGTGCACAACTATTTACTGTCATGACTGTGGAAACTCAGGCAGGGGCCAAGACCAAAGGGAAAGCTGGTGATAGAGCCGGGATTACATCTAAGGTGACAGCAACAAGTGATATTTAATGCATTTACTCTTGACTACAAAGCTGAGCTAAAAGCAGAAGGAAGCAACACGTGAGTCAGAGTTTTACAAGGCAGCAGGATGAGGCGGCAGCTCTGCACAGTGCAGCCTACCCGGGAGGAAATGCCATCTCAGTCACAGAATTAAAGTTTAAAGAAAGCCAGGGCAGTTCTCCCTTTGCAGCAGGTTTGGTACTGGGCACACTCAGAGCACTGGGTGCCAAGACCCTGCATATCAGAGCAGCACCAACTTTGTCCAGCAAAAAGCTTTTTAGGGATGGCCTAAGGGGGAAAACCAGATGCTGCTGCAGCCCCAGCCACCCTCAGCAATCACCATCCTTGGCTGCACATAAAACCCCATGCAAAGGGCAAGGGTGATTTATCACTGGGAACGGCCGTATCCTCTCCACCAGCCTCAGCAGTTGCAATACGAGGTCTGCAAGGGGAGGACTCTCTTGAGGAAAATGCTGCACTGTCTTATTTCCTCCAGCTCCAAGGTTTCCTTAATAGGAAATCATTCCCAAGCTGTGCTCATGCAGGCTGCAGTCCCCCGCGAGGGCAGCGGGCGCATTCCAGCCCCTGATGGAAAACACTGCACAACCGCGTCCGATCCAACGTGTAAATAGTGCGCAATAAAAAGAGGCTTATATAAACGGAGCGAGCTGTCGGGCAGCTTTTGCGGCTCTAACCTCGTTATTTATGGCTGGGGAGCGGTGCGGGCGCGCGCAGCTCCGGGGCGCTGCAGGAGCCGGTGCCAGGCCCAGCCTGCCCTGCCGCCCGCCCGCTCGTGCTGCCACCCTGACGTGCTGTGCCGGCATGGAGAGAGCCCTGCGCTTGTGGTGAGGAGTCCAAGCTCACACCACCTCCTGATGCATCCGTCCGCAAGGGCAAAAACACCCCTGCAGCCCCAAAATCAAGGTTGTACCGCAGGGATGGAGCCGTGGGATTGCTCCGTGCATGCTGGTGAGCAGGCTAAGCCCCACACAGGATCCAGAGAGTGAGTGCACAGTGTCCCGTCCTCTCCGACTGGGTTTGGGCATCCTGCTCCAGAAGATGAAAATTCACCAGCGCTGCTGAGCAGACCAAGCAGGGAAATGGTTGGACAGGGCAGCAGGGGCTTTCCCAAGCACAGCTCCCGAGGAAGAGGAGGAGCGCGAAGGCTCTGCACTCCCACCCACCAGCACCCCCCATCACTGATGTCTCCATCCACTACGAACAGCTTTGGGCACCGAGCCTGGCATTTCCCAACATCCGACCGCAGCACAGGTAGCCCCAGAGCAGCTACAATTGAATGTCGATTCAAATTGAAGGCCATAAAACCCCACCGAGCTGCAGTGAGGGCTGCAGTGCAGCCCAGTGTGGTGCTGCTTCTTATATCACTGCTCAGCAGCCTGTTGGACAGGCCATAGGCAAAACCACGCGCTTCTATGCCCGCCCTGCTAATAAACCCCTACCCAGGCAGGTACTTGGTGCTCGGTTAAGCAGCATCACCTTATCCTTAGCTTAGAAAGCAAATCAGAAGCTTGGTTAAACTGTAGGAGCCACTGCCACGTGATGCCAAGGTGGCCAAAACCCCAAATCTGCCTAGGGAAGGAGATGGAAAGGGGGGACGCTGCCCCTAGCAGCCCCCTTGGCCACCACGTGCCGGTTCCTACCTGGAAGCCGCGATCTCCGACTTCTGCCGGGCGATGGCGGCGGCCCTCTGTGCCCCCTCCACGCTGCGGTCCACCTTCTGCCGGATCTTGGCGCTCTTGAGGGGGATGACGCGCTTCTTCATGCCCTTGACGAGGACGTTGTGGCGGTACTTGCCCTCCTCCTTCTTGCCGTCGGGCAGCGTGGTGCAGCCGTAGCCGTGCCGCAGGTTGTCCAGCCACTCGCCCTCGTACTTGAGGCCACTGGAGCGCTCGCTGACGCCGAAGCCCGAGCGCTTGTCGTTCTTCCACTCGCCCATGTAGGTCTCCGTGGTGGTGGCGTCTATGTCGGACTCGAAGGGGGGGAACTCCTCGCCCTCGGCACCCTCGCCCAGGCTCACGGTGGAGGTGGCGTCGCTGGCGGCGGAGCTGATGCCGCTCTCGCTCTTCAGGAAGCTCACGCGGCTCTTCTGGCTGGCCAGGGACGACTTGGACTCGGATTTCTTCAGCTTCCCCAGCAAGGAGCCGCGGCGGAAGAGGCCGCCCTTCTTGGCCTTGCCGGCCTCAGCATCCGCGTAGAGGCTGAGGGCAAAGCCGCCACGCGTGATGGTGGGCGACATGGGGAGGCTCTCGGGGTTGGTGGCCGGCGAGTCCTGCTGGGGCAGGGTGCCGTTGCTGTGCTCGCTGCGCAGGGACGAGAGCGACGTGCGCAGCGGCGAGCGCACCACCGAGGCCATGCCGTAGGGCACGCTCTGCCGCACGCCGTAGCCGTGCCGCATGCCGTTGGTGAACTGGCCCTGGTATGTTCCTGTGGGAAAGAGGAGGGAACGGTTAAAAGACATCTTTTCTGTCCCCGCATGCACAAAGCCAGCAAACGGCCATGCTGCACTGCTGTGACAACTTTGGGTAACACGGGTCCACCTTGGCCTTCCCTGGAAAAAAGAAGTCCCAAAAGCCACAGCCAAAAGCCCCAGGGAAGGACAAGGACAGAGGATACAAGCCAGTGTAGGTGACAGGTCTCCTCTAGCTCACCAGGAAAGGGTCAGAGCACCAGGTTGCAACCATACAACTCCACAGCAACCTTGATGGACATGGTCCAGACTTGTCCCAGGGCACCTGGAAGCAGGAGGCAGTGGTGGTGGGGCTGAGTGGGTGGCAGCAGCCCTGTGCGTACGCACGAGCAATACAGCACAGCTCTCCTTGGCTCGGTGACAGTCCCTTCCAGCCCCCTCTGCAGTTTGTCACTCGCAGGCCTGCCAGGACAGGCTCTCAACCCAGGAGATGAGAGCCGGGCACATGGCCATCACCCACGTTTCCTAGGGCACCTGCAGCAGCAATGTCTGGTCCCTGATGCACACTTTGCCCACAGTCCCAGCCTCAAGAAGCCTCCCAGCCGCAGAGAGCAATGTGCTGCTAGGGTCTGTCTGCACCCAGCGACATGGGTCCCCGCTAAGAACCCCCAGGACAGGTTGCAGGGCCGGCAAGGGCAGATTGCTCCTCTGCCAGCTGGACCCTTTCCCGACCTGCGCCTTTCTGTGAGTGCAAGACGCAGCTCCCAGAAGGGCAAGTCAAAGACGACAACTCTGACCTTTCTCAACAGGATGTCACGGGACTTAAACTAATAAAACCTTCCCAAGAAGAGCTCCTAAGAAGAGCAGGATGCCCGGGCGTGGGGTGGGGGGGACTGTTACCCACAGCCGAGAGGTAGACGCCGAGCCTGGCCGGGGGGGCTTCCTGAGAGCCAGCCCTGGGGACCAGGACATCCCCCAGCCCGGGGGACCTGGTGTCCCCCAGCCCCTGGCCCAGTGGCCGGAGTGTCACGTTCCCGGGCTACAGTTGCCACAGTAACCGCCAAACCAGCCCAAACAGAAGTAGCACTGAGCCCCGCGCGTCCCCGCGTGCTCCAGAGGAGCGGCAAGAGGAAGGGGGCATTGTGGCTCCATGGCCTTCCTTTCTACACGCAGACGCGGTTACTGAGACCAGGGATGACCCCGCTCCCTGGGGATCAAATCCCGCTCCTTCTTTGGCGACAGTGGGAGTGCAGGTTTTAACAGTCTCCCAGGTCCCTTCTGCACCATAAGCGCCCAGGCCTCAGGTTTCGCCGCGAGCCGCTTTGGCCCCGTCTGCAGGTGTTGGCTTACAGCGCCCGGGGCCGCGAAAGACAAGAAGCGCCTGTACCCACAGCACCCTGGTTCTGGGCATAGTTTGAAGCATTTCTTTTAGGAAAAAAATAAGGGGGTGGGGGAGGGCAGCCCCGGTCGGTAGTTTGGGCAGCAGCTGGAAGCCCAGGACCATCATCCAAGGCTTGCCAAGGCCTCCGCTGTAGGTGTTTGGGCAAGCTCCTCACCCTCCTGGGCCCCCAAGTCCCTCTCTAAAAAGTGACACCTCATTGTCACAAACCATAATTAAAGAGTTGCCAAGAACACACATCCTGTCCCCATTTCCCTCCCCACACTGACCCAGGGAATTCAGTGCTTCATCCATCTTGCGCCATGGATGTAACTGGCGGGCAGGGTGACATGCGATAGGAGTGACATTAGAGGCCGTGCGTGATATCCTGCACTTGAACAGCTCTGCCTGCTCTTGCTGCAAGCTAACCATCTGGGAGAGGGGTTTTGACAACGTCCCGTGGGACAGGGAGACTCAGTGCCACCTCTGCCCTCCAGAGAGCCCAAAACCTTCCTTTCTCACTGAAGGTGCCAGGGAAGGGCAAAGCCACATGGCAGAGTGGGCCTTGGAGCAGTGGAGATCTGGATGCCTCCAGGTACATGGGTAGACCCCGGGCACGCGTCTACACCGCACGTTGGGCAGACCAGCCCTTCAGCTTGGTTTGGGCTGCCTGATTTAAGCCCATGTGGGACAAGCGATACTTCCTCTCCAGTGTGTGGTATGACCACAGCTGCCAACCACATCTGCCTTAATGGAAGGCTCCAAAACCCTGCAGTCACCCAGAAACGCAAAGCAAACACGGGGCAGACCAAACTGCTGCTGGGTGAGCTCCATCTTTGCTTTGCAGCCAAAGGGCTTTTCTCATGACCAGATGTTACTACATGAGCACCACAGTTGTGAGCAGAGAGAGGCTCCTAGGTGCACCCAGTTCAACAGGGCTGTGCCAAACACTTGGCATCACGGACATACTCTGAGCAGACCCACATGCATCTGACCCTTAACTACCTTGTTAGCATCAAAGCATTCTGCAATTAAAAATACCTACACACATATCAAAGCTTTTGATATCAGCGTATGCATGCAGGAGCTAGCACTGTGCAGGACTCTCTTTCTTTTTCCACCTTATTCAGAGTTGCACTGACTTAAGAAAATACCTTGGTGATGAAGCAGTTCTTTCAGAGTTTGGTTTTGCCTGAGCCCAGCTAGCCGGGGTGGCAGCCAGTCTGCTCTCCCTTCCCCCAGCCCAGCAGCACAGCCCAGAAATTTTGGCTTGGAAATTCTGGCTTGGAATTTCTCTCATGGAGTTTTGCCCTCTTTCCATTTTTCTTCAAAAATAGAGCATTACAATGTACATTTTAATGGCAAGAATACACCTCCCTGTGTCTGCTTTTTGCTTTATGCCCGCGGGAACAGCAGAGAGAGGCAGCAGAGGACTGGGCCACGAGGACAGCAGTGACAGGGCTCAGCCCCGCGCATGGGGCTGGAGGCCAAGACAGGCCAACTGGCTGCAGAGCTGCAAATGGCTCAGCAAAGAGGATGCTGAATTAGGGCTGCGTAATCAGATCATCTTTGCGTGAAAACTGTATGTGCCCAGACTACCAGCTTTGTCCAGGGCAGGAGGCTGAAGGCAAAGGAGCAAAGCCCCAGAGTGGGGGTACTGGGGCTGTGATCCACCCAGATCAGTGACCCATTCTATGCTCCATCATGGAAAGGTGTTTGTCCCCTGCCCTGCTCCTCTCCGTTTGCCCTGTCTCTCCCCTTGGCAGCCCAGGCTCGTACAGGCTGGTCCTGGCCACTGGCAGGCGAGGTGTATCTTCTCTGTCTGCAGGTGAGGTCTGTCTTCTCCATCTGCCCCTGGACAACCTCTTTCCATGCATATTCACAGGATGGGAAGGACTGAGTTGCAGCAGTGACTAAAGCATTGCACCTGCAGGCTTCCCTGCAGACACAGGATTCAGGATTCATCCTGAGGGGTGGCACCTCCCTCCTCCCCGGCAGCAGGTCACCCTCCTCCTGGCAGGAGCTCTGGGCATGGAGCTCAGGGATGGTTCCTGGCTGAACGAACACAAATCCTTCAGCTCCTGGTGGGCACCGACCCCGGCAGCGAGAGCCTGTGACAGCAGCATCACCTCGTCCCTTCCCAGGCCGCCTCTGAGCTCTCGTACATTTAGCTATGAATGCAAATAAGACAAACAACTGGGTAAATAATGCAAACTTCTCAAATAGTATCACTGTCTGCCAATCATCTGCTGTCACCCGGATACCGCAATGACAGACACGTTAGGAGAAGGTAGTACGAAAGGCCAGATGCATTAAATCAGTGCTCAGAGACATGTGCCAGACAGAGCAGCGCAAGCCTGGCGCTTGTGGTGGTGTCAGTGTCACCAGCAGCAGGACTGCTGTAATATTGCCTGGTGGCTGCTGCTGGAAAAGAGAGGGAGAAAAAAAATGGAGAGAAAAAAAAGACACGCATTAATTGCTGGTTTAAATTCAGCCTTGTCTGAGCAGCGCTAACAGAGCCAGCCTGGGCTGCGGGACACTACATATACATCTAGTATACGTATATGAAAAGCTATTCATATAGCAAAGCACAGGTTTGGTCCTGATTCCTTTGCTAGCAGTAAGATTCTGCATTGAACGATATTTTTTTTCTGAAAAAGTTTTAACTGGATCAAGCACTCAGAATCAAAAGACAAAAATGAAGTCTTCCTTCCAATAGAGATAAAATTCAGACAGAAGTCAAATAACTAGATGTTTACTTCTAACTCATGTTGTAAGGTGGTGAATTCATGCAGAGCCTTTCAAGACTCAAATCACCTTTGTCTTTAGATATCGTATCCTGCCCCTATAAGGGGCTCCAAGCCGTATCCCAGTAATAGAAGCAGGCACACATATATATTTAGCTTGGATACCTAAGGAAATGCATCACAGTGTTACTGTATCTGCCTGTCCATACCCAAGGAGCTCTGAACCCCTCCCTGATTTCAATCATCTTCATAGAAGGAATCGTATCGGCCTCCCAGCTCATGAAAATGGATATTTGGTAGAGGAGAAAGAGAATGCAACGCAACCAGCAGCTGAGCTAAACTGTGACACGGATTCACTTCTTACAAAACACCAGAAATCTACACGGGATTTCATAAGAAAAGCTCCACTCCAGATATGGGCTTTATTTAGACACCTACCACAGCCAGCCACAGGACACAAATCATGGGCAAGCCGGCCGCCTCATACACTGATTTAACTCTATTTTAAACATTAGAATCAGCTGCATCTCCATTAAATCTGCTTTTGGGTCCAGCAGTGACCTAAAGCTTCTAGGGAACTGGCAAGAGACCCTTCTTCCCAGCGACCTCGTTCTGCATGGCTGGCTTCCAAGGGGCTTGTGAATCACATCCCCTGCTCAAGAGATAGCAGATTTCCAAAGGGTTTCCAGATGTTTATCTTGGTGATCCTCAATTCAAATACTAACAGGTCCTGTTAGTAGTCTGGTCACATCTGGATCTTGCAGATGGTTACTATACACAGGTGAGAAGACCATACAGGAGCAGGCCCCGCAAGTTAATAAGGTAATTCCACCCCTTTCCTCTGCACTTGACGTTGGCCAACGATCGTAAACTTGGCTGTAGATGTAGCTCTCTGTTCCCATCAGAGTCGTTCACACACTGAAGGAATTGCTCAGCCACATACCAGCCGGGACCTGGTCACCCAAAGCAATGAGCAGATGCTTGGCAGCTGGAGTCCTCTCTGTCGTGAACGTCTCAGGCCACACGAGGTGGGTCTGGTTGGGCACCCGAGTGGCTGAGCCTCCCCGCTGCCCACAGAGGCTTTGACAGGTCACATCGTCACGGGTCAGGGCTGAACTGCCAGCCTAGGACTGCTCCAGGGATCACGTAGACAGCACATTCCTGAGTATCGGACAACACCCAGCAAGGGCTGGGAAGTGTCATGCTGGCAGAAATGCTATCTTATAAATCCATATAGGATAAAATCTGGACTCATGTTTCTCCCTCTTCTGCTCCGAGTGCTCAGTACAAAATCTAATGAAATTCAACCTTATCTGCCAGGTTTTGCCTCTTTAGACTCTCCCGCCCAACATCAACTTGAGATTCTGCTGCACTGTGTCCTCAAAGAGATGCATTTTGGTAGTCAGTGAGGAAACAGCTCTGAAAATGTATATGACATTCCAAAACCTTCAGAATTAGAAATATTTGCATAGAAGACATTGAGCAGGCAACTGTTGCTTACGGTTATCAGATCACAGCACGTTATTAGTCAGACACAGGCTTACATGTAACCTATAGATCTTAAACCAGACATTAAGCTTTTGCAACATACAAGTGCATTGCAGGTTTGCTTTAGCCTTAACTTTTGGCATCTCTCTGCAACACACACAATTTGAGTGTTTAACAAACCCCTGGCCACATGGCAGACAAGATAAAACTTCAGGAGCTGGAGAGCTGAATCAGTTCTGGTCTGCATCTGTGCTGACAACCTCAAAGGGCACAAACAAAAGTAGTCATCTTGAAGACTATGTTCCCAAGCGTAAAGTTAGTCAAGGACTCAGGGAATTTGTTGAGAAAAATCTATATATTAAAAAAGCCCAACTCTGACAGCCAGTATCTCGAACTAATAACATTTTTCTAATGTCTGTAGATCAGATGCTTTTCATTCTGAAGATATGCACCCTTACTGTTATTTTTCCTTATAAACAGACCCCACTGCATGTCCTGGATAAATATAGTTGCAATTCTGATACATATTTTGAAGGGTATTTCTTTCAAATCACCCTCTTTATTTAGCTATCCTAAATATGGCAGCCTGGAACATTACAGTATTGAAGGGCTACAGAATTACTAGCACAGAGATTCTTGTGATGTTCCTAATCCAAAATGTGCCACTAACGCAAAAACCACAATTAGACCAACCATTTACAGAGGGTACAACAAATGTCTGCCTACCCAGTGCACTAGCAGGGGTTGAGAGTCTCAAAG